TATAAAATATTTATCGGTCACCGGCACCGAGCTGATTTTTCCTAGCTGAACTATTTGCAATTCACACGCTAGGACACGATCGTTGAACGAGAGTAATTGTTTATCATTAGTCTCGATTAAATTAGTGTGTAAATCTAGTGTATCGGTTATCTTTTCATCAAGCTTCGCGATTTTTGAACAATTTATTCCAATCAAATTAACGTGGGTGTCGAGTTCTTCGGAAAACTTTTTTTTCATGTCGCTGATCACCTTATTCAACTGACTGGACGGTGACCCACTGAACACATCCATGATAACTGAACTTATATTGTAAGATCTGACTTATTAATCCAGCTGTTATGTTCGTCGGTAAAACCTAACCAGCGGACGAATACTCGCTGACCTTTGGTGCGAATTATTTTATCCACTAGATAATCATCGGGTAGTCTCGTTTTACGAATCTCCTCCGCATAAAATCCACCAGCTATAATCTTGTAAGATATATGTATATGGCGTGGTCCGGTTCACTTTAATAATTGTAAATATTTCCGTAGACCAATTGGGTAGATATCCTTTGGTGAACACACCCTTGTACACGCTAACACGGACTTTATCGCCCACGCTTAATTTATTTTTTGTGGTTTTCACTGAGGTGTATTTTAATTTTATCAGTGCTGGGTCATTGTCGGCCTGTGATGGCGTCACGCCGATCGTGCTATGTAGTGTTGTATTATAGTCATTAATTAACTCTGGTAGAATCGATATCCAATCGCGGGAACCTCTACTAGTGAATTGCATAAACATTCGAACTTTCAAGCTTCTGTTAAACCGCTCCACGATAGATGCCTTTAAAGCACTGAAAGTACTATACATTTTTATGTTATACTTGCCCACTAGAGCCTTGAAATGTTTACTGTAAAACTCGCGCCCGCGATCGACGTGTAATAGATTAGGCCTATTCCGCGCAAAAATGATACTAGCGGCCTTCGACACCTCTTCACCACGTTTGGTTTTCAACGCAATACCGTACGCATATTTCGTGTAACAATCAAGCACGGTCAATATATATTTATAATTTTTATTGACGTCAGAATATTGTTGCATATCTGACTCTGTACTTTATTAACTGACTATAGTATAGTRTCGTCTAAAGACTGTAAAAATAACAATTGATTTAAATGCTTGGATGTTAATCGATTCCGTTGTTTGTTTAATGTCAATCCTGCCTTAGAAAATAATCTTTCGCTGGTGACAGACGTCGCAACAGGTACTAGATATTTGACGGCAATTTTGGATAGTATTGGATACACATTGCACATATCCTTCCATATTAGTAAAGGATCATCTGATAGTCTGGCATGACTGCTTTTCAGGTATAAATTTAATTCGAAAGGAAATCCACTCTCCTCCTGTAAACGTCCTCTATGGGATTTACGAMTGGTAGATTGTTGAACATGTTTAGCATGATCTTGCCACAAATTGAATGACTGAGGTCCTTCTACAGCTAAAAAATAAAATAAATATTATGCATACATGTTACATAATAGATTTATTTTGTAAATGATTAATTGTATAATATTCATACTTGTGTTGTCTGTATCAGATGAACTTTCACTGGAGCTCATAGTCTGTGTTAGTTTGATCTCATTAGATATATACCTCAGCATCTTGGATAGTGCAACGGTGTCTTTAAAATAAAGTTTTTTAAATCGTGGGTCCAAAACAGTTGCCATACCCAAAAGGGAACAACTTTCTACAGAACTGAAACGTTTATCACATTGTACAATAATGGCGGATTTTAGCTGAAGTCCAATTTCTTGTTTTGGTTGGAATTCTTTAATATTTTTCTTAAGTATATAAACCATAGAAATCACCATACTTGTCGTTACATATTTTTGGGCACACAGTTCTTTGGTAGCAGCTTCTACTGGTCTTAATATATCTATTACATCTGAAATATCTTGTACTTCTTTTGCCGATAGCATATCTGGAGCAGAAATATGCCTATGAACAATAGTAGGATATAAAGGTATGTTCTGAAACCTCATTCCCTCATCCTTGCTCATCCTTACTCATCCTTGCTCATCCCCTCATCCTTGCTCATCCTTACTCATCCTTGCCCATCATATGAGGTATTTAGCAATTAATGAAACTGAGAATTATTATTTTTAATAATGTGTGACGAAAATTTTCTATGTTTTTAATGAAATGATTAAATTTGTACAGATGTTTGTATTGAAGTATGCATGAATGATGATTTACTACGTGAATGTTTTAATACAATTATTATATATACATATTATATAAATTATATATCATGAGGATATTTTTAWTTTTCTATGTTCTTATACCTCATGTCACACGCATCAACATCGAAGACCTCGGGTGTCCACGCTTGGAACAAATATGTGATAAAGAAACTTTACCTTGCTGTATTTTTCATATGGAGTTTAATCCAAAACAATGTACATTTTATAAAGTATTTGCTCTATGGAAATGGTTTATAAATAATTCTTAAAGATTGTATGTACATTTTRTTTAATAAACATAATAATAATAATATATTTTAACATTGTTTTTTTTTTTATTTATTTACATGCTAACATACATTTATGTTATCAATTACAAGGTTAATTAAATATATAGATAACAGAAAAACATGATAATAAACATTTATACATGAAAATACAAAATATCTAACAAATTATACATTATAAATATTATATATGGATATATAAAAAGGGTACAATATAAAATAAATATCACNATGATGGAAGCATTGAGATAAATATAATGGGGTACGATGGCGGAATCGGTATATCCCGACCGTCACCGCAGTCGGCCGGCCGACCGTTGGGGGTACGATAACCGAAAAGTACCTACCATTTATTTTTCTATATCTATCGTAATCAAAACTAATTCTAATCTATATTGCTTTTAAATTAAAAAAAAATAAATAGCTATCAGAAAATATTAATGGAACCTATTATTAAAATAATAAATCAATTTTTCAATGTTATTTCTAAACTGTCAACTGTAAGTTAATATGCTAGACTTTGTACTTACCATCAGTTCAATGATTTAAATTTTAATGTGAATCATATAACTCATAATACTGAGCAACAATAACATAGAACATAAATGTCCACAATTTAGTTAAATARGTAATTTGAAAAAAAATTGCCATTGTTTAATTGTTTTTAGTCATTAATTTATCTAGCTAAACTGTAAGATTTTAATAGATTTATTTTAAAGATATTTGACTGTAGTTTATATGTTTAAAAAAATGTGAGKATAGGTATTTTATTATGTGTTAGGTTAGGTCACTACATTAAAGGATTGTATCAATGTGATAAATATCAAGTTTCCTCTGTTTTTAATATTGTTTTAATTATTAAAAATGTTCTCTTTYTTTTATAGGGTATTTACAAAGATAAAATTTTAGTGGATCCTACATATGATGAGGAAACATTGTGCTCATCTAGGATACAAAATGAAGAAAACAAAGGCACTGTYATGATAGCTTATATGAAGAATTTGCAACAAATTACAGAATTTGCTCAGAATGGTTCAATGGATGTAAACATGTTTCCAGAATACGTACAAACATTGATTAATCAAAATTGTAAACTATACAAAATGGTGATTTCTGTAGCTAGAAAAGATGTTATTGAATATTTTGAAAATGAAACTAAGGAATAATTAAAAATGTTAAGCCAAATAAYTAATTTAAAAATCTATATATTTTTGAATGATTTCATATTTCCCTTTGTCATGAAACCGATTTTTGTGAAACTTGTTGTGTGTGTTTGAGTGGTTCGCTGAATGGTCTAGATTCACAATTGAACYTAGTAACTGTAACTCAAACAGTTGCTGAAACAGAGATTATGAGGTTATGATGGAGATTTTTGTTACAAATAGTTGTTGATTGCAAGAGAAATAATATGCAGAAAATTGTATTTTTTTAAATAATTGCTATTAGTTACTCGAGAAAATWAGGTAAAAGCATGCATCAAATYGCCACGTTGATWGTTTTAAATAAAGAATATATCAATAATTTAGTAATATATAAATTGGGAAAAGCATCAATTATTTCATTTTCATTAAACCATTTCCAAACATCAAGTACCTACTACCTACCTATACTAAAATATTCACAATCTTTAATTTATGTTTTTCATAACTGCATACGGAAAAATACTCTCGAAACTTTTTAATTAAATTTTGTATGTAAGCATCTAGTATCTATACATCTTCCTTATATAGGTCGATATAAAGTTCTCAATACTTTGTTCAATATCATCTTCTTCATTAATTGTGTCAACAATTGGAACACACGACTTTGTAACAAATAAAAAATTGTCTGAAACAAACTTGTATGCTTCAATTTGTTTGTGTAATTCAGAACAAAATGTATCAATGATTATGTATATTATATTATTATTTTTGTAGTGGCCAGTGGGTTTCAATTCTAAACTGTTCACCACCTTGCAACCAGCATTATTTATAAACAACCAAAATCTACGATTTTGTTTAATATGTTATTTTTCCTTTATCATAGTAAGTACTATTGATTTGCCGTGCTCTCCCCCCTGGACTCCCATTAATCAAGACTTGATTCCGATATTGGTATTTCACAGAATTTTCGGAATTAAACGAGACACATTTACAGATTGTATTCAAATTAGGTATCAACTATTAAGAACTTTATAGCTTGAAATTAATTTGAGACATACATTTTAATAATGCATTTAATAATATTAAAAATTTTGAAATTGAAAAATGGAATACAAGTTATATTATTGAAATTTATTTCAAAACAGTTTACGGTAGTTAAACCATTTTTAATAACTCCCAGAACCTTGGTAGCTTTTGGAATTAGATTTGATATATCTCGATCATACATTTTGAGTGTACCTTATTACCATAATTTATAGTTTATTATGAAAAAACTAATAAAGTCAAATTGATTTTTACGAGTTTAGAAGTACTTTTTTTTTATCCTTAACCTAAATTTATAGGTAATTAGAAAATATAAATGATTTCTCTAAAAAAGTCACAGAGTTTTAATACATTTTTCTAATATTTTTAACTTAAACATTAAACAAAGTGTAAATTTGCACAAACTTTTTTCCTCACTTTTAAATATCACAGTACCTACAATATGAGTTAGTTTAGAATATGAGTATGTGGAAAAGTCTCTGTCAAAAGAAGTAAATTGAAAATAATAACATGAAAAAACAAGTAGGTACTTACATAATATATGTATTCATAAATTTGTTTTAAAATAACATTTGATTTTGATACCTAATCCATTTCTGATTTCTATAGAACGAAATGTTATCTTTCTATATTTTGTGATATAGTTTAAAAAATACTTAGTATATCTGATAATCCGTTTTATTATTTTTAATGTTCAGCTACTGTAGCAAAGAAAAATAAATATTAAATACACTACATATTTAGCTTTGTCTTCGTTTTTAACAATAACATTAATTTGTTTGTTAAATAGGTAGATAGTAGATACTGAGAGTATATTAATTTATTATTTTAATTCTTATTTAAAAGATTCATTTATCATTTTTGTATCTTTATTTATTTTATTTTATTGATTTAATACACTATTACTAAATTTATACTAATATGCCATATTATATTATACCATCATGGCGCGGAACAATATGATCATAGAACTATAATACCTGCGTTTTTAACAGTTTAAATATCTACTATTTATTGTTAAGGTACTCTACTTAAGAGCGCTGGTGTCCGTTTTTTTGATTTTCCGGATTCGGTTAGGTTAGGTTCCGGTCCGAGCATGATGTAAAGAAGAAGCCCGTACTATTCTGGATAGAATTTATCAAGGAATAACTTCGATGAATGAATGATAAGTCGTGAGAAGTATCATTTAAATGAATTATATAAATTGGGATACAAATTTGTTGGAATTAATATTGGGAAGAAACCGTACATTCCAGGACACTGGACAGATTTTCTCAGGAAAATATTATTAGTTATTACCTTAGATCATATACATTATATGATTATATTATATATATTATAACTTTTATTGGCCGAGTTACTGAATGCCCTTGTTCCAATTGATCAATTATAATGTGTGATTTTTTACTTAATTCGTTTAAATGTGCTATAAACAAAACAGAAATTACTTAATAAATATTAGGTAACACATTTCATAAATGTATGTAAACTTTGATACTTCCCTAACAGCACCAGGACTCCAGTGGGATTATCCTACTGCTGTCCTATAAAGGACTCCTAAAAGAGAGCCCGACAGGAGTTCTGCTGGATTTCCTTATATCATTGGGACTTTTAGTATATTATCCTACCAGTGTCCTAAAAAGGACTCCGAATCGAAAATATCTACAGGAGTCCCTATTAACATACATATTATTGTAAGACTAATGGTCGAATTATCCCATCACTGCACTTGTGCAACTTTAAAGTTAATAAAGTTAATAAGAAATTGCTTATAACTAATATAGTATAGTTCCTTATAAGTAGGTTGCCAACTATCTAATTGTAAATTGTATTATTGTAGGGCAATTTTTTCATATCCAAGAAGGGGGGACGAGCAAAGTATAATATAAAAAGACCANCTTCAGATAGTTATCTCCTAGATAATTATCTAGAAGTTAAGGAATTGATGATTGATATTAATTACTTTGGTACAAGAAGTCACTCTTGTAATTGATAAAAATTACTCTTATCATTATATTTTATTGCATTATCATTATGTAGATAGCTAGGTATTGCCCATTTGCCCGTGTTATGTGTTAATATTTTTTCACATTTTTCAGTTAATAATTCATAATTAATATTTTTAATTATTTTAATAGAATATACATAATATAATAGGTATACTGTATACATCTATTGATATTATGGAAAAAAAAAATAGCTTCAATAACTAAAAAACGTGTAAGGTCGACAAATTTTTCCTTTAGTGAGAAGGAATTGCTGTTGAAGTTTGCACTTCAAAAAAAAAAGAGTTTTAGAGAATAAGGAGTCAAATGCTGTATCATGGAACGACAAAAACTTAGCGTGGGTCGGTATTGCCGAAAAATATAATGCTGCAACACTTGGCTGTGTACGTAACATTTTTTATAAAATAGATATTATGATATATTTTAGTTTTATTATTTTTACTCAACAATCATGCATTTTTTTGTCCTTTTTTGATAAAAAACTAAAATTCTTACTTAAGAAGTTATTTTAGTTATTATTTTGTTTAATCCAAATCCTACTTATTATAGCCGAGAGATCCTACTAACTTGAAGCAGAAGTACGAGAGTATTAAAAAAATGCTTAGGGGGTCAAAAAAAACTTTATTTGAAACTGGCGGTGGACCACATGTGAAACCTTATGAAGCACAGAGTGATTTAGAAAATGAATTGTATTCTATAATCAGAATCTCAGCAGAAGGTTTACCTAGTAATTTTGATAGTGATATTCCAATCCGTAAGTTCCTACTCCTTACTACTCCTATTAATAAATACAATTTGTTATATATTATTCTGTAATGTCATACGTCCTACACTCCTACTGTACAAAATCTTTCTCTCCTTTGTAAAATGTTAAGTCCTATAGGCTATAATTTATTGGTTAAACAATAACACTATAACACTATAACACAATTAATTTTAATTTACTATTAAATAATAAATAATAATACCACACACACAATTCGGATTCAGACCAAAACACTTGACATTGCATCAATTACACAAAACAGTCACTATCATATACAGTTCCCAGGATAAAAAACAGTTCTGTATAGCAGTATTACTTGACATCTCCCAAGCCTTTGATCGGGTATGGCACAATGGACTAATGCACAAACTTAATAAGTTTTTAAYCTCCCATTATGATGAAAACATTTACTTAATGCATTATTTTCCAATTTATTTCTATGAACAAAAATCCATCACAACACAAGAAACAAATACGGACGATTGTGTTGAAGAATATGTTGTAAATGAGGAGGAGTTTGATGATGATGCGCCATCAACGCATGCAAATTTGTCGTTTACTAATCGTAATTATTATTATTTCTGTGCTTATTTACTTCATAATATTGTATTATGAACCTTGTGATAAATATAATTATAATTAATATAATAAATATAATATAATTAATATTGATACATTTATGATTTATAGTAATCAAACAATTTCCACCAACTACATCTTCATCACTAGAAGAGATAGATATAGTTGATACAGATATAAATAAAGAATCATATATTTGTACAGATGAAAATCAAGAGCAACGTAGGTCTAGATTCAAATATTAAACAAAAATAAAATGTGTAGAACTTTAATAGCAAAATGCCTGAAATTATAAAAATTTAATTACTGTTTATCAGATAATAATCAAAACAATTCAACTTGGTCTCCTTTAAACTCAACAAAAATGCTAAGAACAACATCTAAAAATCCAAAATTAGTATTTAATAACAGTCATCAAAAACAAT